TGGCCACCAGTTTTCATTCAAAAGAAAAAAAAAATTTTGTATGAGCTGAAAAAAGATATGCTGCAGCACTCTGATTTTACAGCCTGAAGAGGCTTTTACACCGGACACAGAAAGTCTGTGCTATGAAACCCATTCAATTTCAATGGCTTGCTCTTTGCAAGAGGAGTTTGTTGCTGTGCCGACTAAAGCACAGCAAAGCGCACCATCGACTAGCTTGCCCAGACACCATTGTTGAACACATACCTGTCAACATTGGGATGTGAAAACAAGGGATACCACAACCCACAAAAAACAATATATCTGTTCATCTGGAGCTGTTTTATTGTAAATACACAGTTGAAACAGTCAGTCATAGGTTCTTTTTTAATTACAGCATTAATATCAAAGGCTAGAATAAATAGTATGCATTAGAAAAAGCTGCAAAATAATTAAAGTTTAGCCTATTAAAATAATAGCTATTATAAGGAAATTGAATCAAGTTATCAAATCTAATTAACCTTTTCTTCACTGTGTAGCTTAAACATTCTGGTTAAAGAGCAGCAAATTAATTTCTCATTTAGATTTTTCATTTAGTTACATTAAGTAACAGAGGTGTTATTTATAAAAAAAAATATATTATTATTATTATTATTATTACTATTGTTGTGTACATGTCTGTTCAAACATGCACTCAAAACCCAAAGTGTTGACTTTCCTTTAGCTTCAAACTGCAGGTACAGAACTAATTTGGGAAACAGCATCTATTTATTACTATGGAGAGCATCTGACAGTCATGCACTGCTGTTTTGAGGATTGCATAGGAGGGGCAGCCGTGCCTGAATAGAAAGAAAGGGAATCTGCACATTTATATATTTATTTCAAAGAGTTTTCAGGCCTAAATAAAATAAAAGCACAGAACAGATTCGCATTGAAGAGCATAGAGGGTCCCCTGGTGGCTTGGCTGTATGGGTTGCATATAGGGAGGATCGTCTCTTTGATATTTATTGCCACCCTTCAGAGAAAGATAAAAAATATAGGAGAAATACAGGAAAATACCTTCACGGAATGATAACGGGATAGAATTGTAAAATACAGGGGAATCCCACAAAAATCAAAAGGGTTGACAGGTATGGTAAAGTTCAAAATAGCTCATTATTTCACTCTGACTATATTCCGCTCATTTACCCGTACATATATATTATACCGCACATGTTCACCAGAAATGCAAAGTTCGCTTATAAAACATTTTTGTGTATCATAGTTGTTCTTGCTTCCTGCTATAAGTGCTACTGTGATGTCATGGCAACACTGGTAAAAGGATGCCTCTCAGGCTGTTTCTGTCAATAATTACATTTTAAATTAATACATTTAAATGTACTATCAAAAAAAACATTTGGTTGTCAATTTGTCATTTTAATTGTGTTAAATTTTAAAAATCTCTACAACTCACTTTGTATTATTTATTAAAACAATGAATCAAGTTTTTGGTTTAAGGCCAAGTGCATTCACAATTTTAAGTTTTGATTTTGGAGTTTCAACCCTTGATTGTTCATGCTGGTACTAACCTAGTTCCTTTAAGCCTAGTTCGCACTAGAGGATTTTAAGCCTGATTGGAGCCCGATTGGAAAGTTAACAAGCTCGCCGACAGAACGGGCTGTGGTCAGGAAGAAATCTGCGGGTGCACGGCGCTCGCCGCTCTTTATGTGTGAACTACTGAACAACGCATCAACGAGGCTCGCTGACGCGTCGCCGACACCTCGCAGACGGAAATCCAACATTTAGCATGCTAAATATTCCAGAGCAGTTGGCCAACTCAACCCCACGTGTGGTCCAATGTAGTGACAAAGCTGCAGCCAATGAGAGAGCATATCAGCATGAGCTGAATGCCTGTGTGATCAGGAGCTCAACAAAAACATCTGTGATTGGTCAGAATTAACAGTGAAACTAGAATTCTGTAACTATTAGAATCACCATACTGCTCATTCTGACCGTTCTCATATAAAACGCCATATTGTCACAACATATTTACATTGAAAGCTATTATTGAGATGTTAAAATTAAGCTTTGAATGTCTGGCATCATATTTAGTGACACCATTACCATAAAAATATAATATTTTTTTTGGTAATACAGCCTATAAATATGTAGTTAAGATTCTAGAACATGCAAAGGTCTTGGCTTTCATTTTCACTTTCAAACAGGAGCTATTTCGCGGCACAAAATATGCTGTTTTGAGAGATATCTGAAGTAAATTGATGTTTTTGCCATGAGAAAGTTTTGTTTATGTTAGCAGGAAGTTGATAGGCAAAAAAATGCACACATATTTAAAGTCACAGCGAAAAGTATCAGACATGGATGCAGTCATTTTGACCAATATGGTAATTTAAGGCAGAAAATGCTCAGTTCTTTACTGTTTTGTAATAAAAAAATAAAAATAACAATGTCAGAAAGAAATAAACTGATAGGTAGAAAACAGCAGGGTGTTATTTGTTAGTTTTATTCCAAAGAGTTATACAATTACAAAAATTAAAAACTCTCTGTGTATCTATCCACTCGAACCTTGCAGATGAGTGATTAATCCGCACATGAATCTGCTGATTTGACAATGTTTTTAAATGCTTTCTCCAAAGCTTGAAACACTGTCAGTGATGTAATCAGCACACAAGCAGCCAATAGTGTTCAGCTTTTTCTGACGACTCCTCCCTCAAAATTTCATTGGCTGTGGTTTAGTAGCTTGAATGAGCTGGTGGGGAGTGAGCTGTTGTCAGATCATGTAGTGTGTGACCCCCCTCTTGTGGATCATTCACAGAGTGTTGCGTTGTGTGAACACCACAGAGATTAAAAGACACAAAGTCAAGTCATGTAGTGTGAACGGCACAGCGATCTGCTGATGTTTAAAATCCTGTAGTGTGAACTAGGCTTTAAATGTAAATAAGCTGCTGCTTTCCAGAAGAGAACAGAGCCTTTACATGCTATTCTGACAGAAACAACAAAATGTTGTGGATTAGTGGATTAAAGCCTTTTCAAACTTGAGTTGACAAGGATATATTGGGATAGGTTGCAACTAGACTGCACTATGGCATTTCTGGATGGTTGGTCGATCAGTTTGTGCAGTTGTTATAAAGTAAAGTTTATTAAACGCATTAACTAGCATGCTCTCTTTTGATGCCCTGTCCTTCGCAAATTAACTTCCCACTAATTGGGAATAAATGATATATTTACAGAATTAATCAGTGCATATTAAGTGTGTGTTTGTGAATTACAGTGCTGGTGAACATTTCCGGATAAATCTAAAAATATCTCTGGTCTATACAGCTATACAGCATGTTAGCAAGCACATTCAGAAAAGGAATTTGGAAACGTTCTCAAAATATGTAGTAGCATACTTCTGATAGTGTGGATATGAAGTTGGTATTGCTCTGGTATTGACCTATCCCTTCAGCCTCATATTTACTTTGGCTCGAATGTTGAGTGAGATCGGTATATCCAAAACAGAATTTTTGTGATGTTTTTCTGGCACAGACATAAATTTTTAGGTTTTATAGTGAGCAAGCAGAAATGGTGACTGGCACTGTGGGTTGAAACATGCAGATTAAGACACAGTAATACAGTATATAGTAAGATCCATTCATACTGTCACTGAGCTGTTCTTTTCTTATTTTATGTGTTTTCAGATGCACCTGGGACCCAATTATTGCATTTAAACAGACAAAAAAAAAATGAATTTCATGATATTTCCCATTTGAGTGCACTAAGTGTACAGTGTTTTCATTTATTTGTGTCCCTTATGTAAAATAGCTGGATGAATTTTGTCAGTTTGATGTTGTGCAAGGCTAAAGGAATATTGTGTTCTCAAGCTACATTTTCCTCTCACACTCTTTACTCATAAAACCTTAGCGTGGTGTGTTTGTGTGTGTGTGTGTGCCTCTTTAAAATCTTTAAAGTGTGTGTGTGTCTTTTATTAAAGTGCGCTGCAGTGAAAGGGTATTCCCTAATTGGCTGTTGAGCTTGTAGATTGCTTTTATATCTGCCGAGGTCTGCAGAGTAAGCAACTATGAGTTCATTTACTTTTGGGATGAGCTTAAAATAGAAAGCAAGCATTGCGGATTAAACATGCAGTTTGTATGCTTTTTATTTGTTAAATGACTTCGATAAATTCTTAATTTATATTTACTTTTAATGGATTAAAGTAGAAATAAGTGTTTCATAGAAAAAAGCACACATTTTTTCCTCAAATGATGATTCATTGTTTGAAACAGGACTACGAGATTAATTGATTTACTGTGCATATTGTTGATGTGTTTATGTATGCTGTGTGGGATCATTTTAATTCATTCATCATAGTAGTTTATTATTAAATTGAATTAACTATATGTCAGATGGGCTTAAATAAACTGCTTTACAGATTACATGCCATTTCCATTCATGCATGTTTGATGTTTCAGTGTTTTCAATGGGACTGATAGAGCAAACATTGATATTGAGTTATGTTATTTGCTCAATCCTTTTTTATAATATTATTTAATTGATTAGTACTTAGTTATATTTATTACTTATTAAAAAACGGATATGTGAATTATCTTACATATGTACCTTTATTACATTTTATTTGAAAGTATTTTAAATACTTTAACTCATTAGATAAATTAGATTAAAACAGTCAAACCTTTTTTGCTAAATTTACACAGAATAATTTTATTCTCTTTATTCTCCCAGATTAATTTAATTCTGTTTAAAATTAAGCAAATGTCGATGTGAAATTGAATTTAATTATTCCGCATATATTTTACAATGACATATTTATGATTTAATTTAATTTTTAATTTGCATATTTTATATTAAAGATAATTAAATGTGCATTTTAAATAATTTATATAACATATTATCATACATAATTATTTTCATTAAGGTAAATTCAGAATTACAAATAGTAATTAAAATCTAACAGCCCTAATTAAAGATGGAATACGTTTATATGTTATTTTTAAGTCTAAATCAAATGCAATTCTTTTTTTTTTCAGGAAACTCTCCATCGGACGAGTCGGAGGAGCGAGACAAAGAGCCACGCACACTTACTTACCCAGCATACATTGCCAGCCTGCTGGACTCTGGTGCCAAGCGCATGGCGGCGGGGGTGCGCATGGACTGCAGCAGCCAGGGCCAGTGCCCTCTGTCCTGCCACCTCTGCCACATGAGCCCTGGGCCTGCACGTCCTGCAGAACCTGTGCTGCTTAACATCACTAAAGCCACACCGATCTTCGAACTTGTCAACAGCAACGAGACGTACCAGGTATCTGTGGCCTCTCACTCACAGCTCTTAGGCCAGGTTACCCACTGAAGCAGAGATGAGCCTGGCTACTGTCTGCATTTGAGGCCTCCTGGTTGGACAGTGTGTTCGTGAAGCCGGCTGCTGGTCTGTTTGGGTCTGATTGTAGTAATTTAGTGGTGTGAATATAATGCTTCACTGCTTAATAAAAAAAAAGTAGCAAGGTGTTAAAAAAAAATAAAAGTAAAATGACAGAGTATTTAATAAATGTAACCATGTCCAGTCCATCAGAAACACATAGTTTTTATGTACTGTATGCGTACCAGAAGAGACACAAAACTTGGAAAGTGTTCTAAAACTGACATTTATTTATTTATTTATTTATTTATTTATTTATTTATTTATTTATTTATTTATTTATTTATTCATTTATTTATTTGTTTATTTGTTTGTTTATTTATTTGTTTATTTATTTGTTTGTTTGTAAACTATTTTTAAAATATATTACTTGAAAATGTTGAAAGTGAATCTTTAGCAGTCCTGAATATTTTTTAAAAATGATTTAGAAGGTTATACTTGTGTAAATACCAGAACACAAAACACAAACTTACAAAATTGTAGTGTTCTAAGACCTTCAAAATGGATATTTATGTATGTTTTTGTATTTGTTTGTTTGTTTGTTTGTTTGTTAAAAAAATTATATATATATATATATATATATATATATATATATATATTAACTTGAAAATGTAGAGAGTTAACTTTTAGGAGTTCTGAATACTTTTTTTATTATTTGAGAAGTTATATTCGTGTAAAAAAAAGAGAAAAAAAACATGTTGTTTTATTGCAAATGTAGTTTAATTGCAATTGCAGACTTGGATTTTTCATTCATCTAAAAAAGCAAGTCCAAGATTTTTTTATTTAATTTGATATAAATTATTTTTGCCTATTTAGAGAACTCCTGCATGCTTATTTATTATTTATATCTAATTTATAGAATTAAAAATGCAATTTATTAATATAAAATAATTTTTGTTCTTTTATGTAATTTCCAAGTTAATTCAGATTATTTTTAAAGCTGTATGGAAAAGGATCATTTATATGCTGCCAATATATTATCCAGATAGATACTGCACTCTAGTGGTATTTAGTTCACTTGACAACCTTTTTAAATATATGAAAGTAGTCCTAGTTATTTAAAATTTACATATTTTTCATAATTGTTATTAATAATTGTAAACTTTTAACATGTTCTTCATCTTTGTCTTCTCGTGCAGGCTCTGCAGGAGGCCATGATGAGTGTTTTATGGTGCTCTGCTAAAGGGGATGTTATTGATGACTGGTGCAGATGTGACTCCAATGCTTTTGGCACAGATGGACTGCCAACCTGTGCTCCGCTGCCTCAACCTATGTGAGTTCAAGCAATATCCTCAGTTTAAATGTCCGAAGTAAGGCCTTAAAGTTCAGATCTTGATCAATCAATTAGTCATGAATGGTAGTAAAAGTTGATTTCATGCTCTTGCCAGGCTCAAACTGTCCCATTCGTATGAGCCCAGCAGCTCATTGGTCATCATAGAATGGAATCACACAGAGCCACCAATTGGAGTGAGGATTGCTGATTACCTCATCAGTCAGGAGAAGGTGACAGAGCGGACTGATCACTCCAAAGTTGAGACGGGTAAGCTTGAATAATGTACACATTCCCATCGGTGACCATAGAATAAACACACACACTCATACACAGAGTAGGAACAATACTTAAAGCTCACTTATATTAGCGGCTGTATAACAAGTGGGATAATGAATATTTAGCCAGTCATTATCAAAAATTAAACCCCTTCAGGGTGAAACAGGAGACCGCTGCCTCATGCTGGAGTCCTGATCATCCTGCCAGGGAATTAATTTGTGATAATGACAACTGTCTGCAAATGAATGCACTGAGACTAAACCACAAAAAATTTAATAATCTAACCATATATTATGTTGAAAAAATACAATTAAAAGGCATTAACATAAAGATGGCAGCGGCTCAGTGGTCGCACTCACAGCACAAAGGTCGTTGGTCCGAATTTCGACTGGGCATTTTTGTGTGAAGTCTGTGTGTTCTCCCCAAGTTGGTGTGGGTTTCCTCCGGGTGCTCCGGTTTCCCCCACAACTCCAAAGACATATGCTATAGTATGAATTGGGTAAACAAAATTGGCTTTAGTATATGAGTGGGTGTGTGAATGCGAGAGTGTATGAGTGTTTTCCAGGACTGGGTTGTGGCTGAAAGGGCATCTGTTGCGTAAAACCAACACAATCTCACGGCAATTTGTAACTTTTTGATTTAGTGGCTAATTCGTTTGAATTCGTTTCTAATTTGTACAGTTCAGAACGATTAGCTCATCCCCCAATGATGGTTGGGTTTAGGGGTGTGGTTAGGTGCTACGCCTCTTTTTTAAAATCGTACATTTTCGTACGACTGAACTCGGACGAATTTGTACGAAATAAGCCTGGCGAAACATAAAATACTTACGTTTTCTCGTGAGATCAGGCTGGTAAAACATATGCCAGATTAGTTGGTGGTTCATTGAGTTGTGGTGACCCCTAATAAATAAGGGACTAAGTCAAAGGAAAATGATTGAATGAATGAATGAATGAATAATATTAAAATATTTAGTTTAAACATTTAACATAAGCCACTTTCACACATCCAGACTTAACTGGTAAATTATCGGATTGTTTTATAGTGTACAGTAATAACTGCAGTAGCTATTATAGCATTAGTATGTGTCTCGAATGGAGTTAAAACATTCTGTCTGATCATCTTTTTTAAAAACATTATTCAAATCTAATCAGATTTGACAGATGGATGAAGGAAACAAAGAAGCATTTTAGGGTAATCTCTAACTTTGATGGAAAAAAATATGTCATTGCTAATGTGAACAGAATATTTGTGCATTAGAAAAAGTTGTACCAGAAAAACTTTTTTGGAATTTACTGGTATTGCATGAAAGGAGCATGAAGGACTTAAAATAAAACACTACCTGAATAACAACCACATTTTAAAGTCCAGTTTCTGCAAAACCTGCGGTACATTGATCAAGGTGCTTTTTCCTGCACAAGAACAGGGTGTTGTGTGTCCTATATGCATCACTTATGCTGAACCATATCAATCCTGTTGTGTTATTCAAAAAAAAAAAAAAAAGAAATTTAATACCTCATTTGCTGAAACAGTTATGTTGTTTTACCTTGTTTTTACACAGTTGAGCTCTTTTGACAGACAAAATATTTTACTTATAGTACTCTGCTATGCATAGGCAGTACAGAAGCATACCAAGTGAGCTATCAAGCTAATAATACCGGAAAAGTTTTCTATATGGAAGCAGAAATGTGTATTTGTTGACAAATCTTCCATATTGTTTTAGAACATTTTGTACAAAGAACCATAAAACAATAAATGTTCCCAATTGGCACCTGGATGTCAACCTAAATCAAATAACACATATTAATATGGTTGAGAAGTGGCATTGTAAGCATTAATAATCCTTTTTTTTTTTTTTGAAAACACATTTGTTACGTTGTCTTATTCTAATTCATCAGAAAAATATAAACACCCCAAAACAAAATTTTTATATATCTTCAGTCATGTGAATTTATAAGAATTTTCCCCATACACCTCAGAAACAAGAAATTGATTAGGTTTTAGATACAAAGCTTTGTAAAGGTGCAGTCTCTAAAATTCATAAACCTTTTTTTTATTTTTTATTAGACAGTTAGGTTCCTCGTCTTTTTTTTTTTTTTTTTTTTTTAAATAAAACAGAGCTGTGAATCCAATCTCAATCATGTTTTCACAGATAAGGAAAGGGCATTTGGACCAGTCTCGTGTACAAACTTCTTCTATTAGGGCTCGTCATTCCCTTATACAATTAAAGTTAATGCATAGAGTACATTGGACTAAGGCAAAAATATCTAAAATAACCCTGTTTTTGATCCAATTTGTGCTCAGTGTCAACAAGCTCTAGCCACTCTTGTTCATACTTTCTGGCTTTGTCCAGCATTTAGCAGTTTTTGGGTACTAATCACTTTTTTGGATATTGAGCCATGCCCCCTAGTAGCATTATTTGGACTTAACCCTACAAATGTTTCCTTGTCATCTACACAATCAAATGCACTCGCCTTCTGTTTAATAATTGCTAAAAGGCTTATAACACTGACCTGGAAAAATCCTTCTCCACCTTGTACATTGGATGCATGATCTGATTCAGTCTACATTTACATTTACATTTAGTCATTTAGCAGATGCTTTTATCCAAAGCTACTTACAAATGAGGACAAGGAAGCAATTTACACAACTATAAGAGCAACAACGAATAAGTGCTATAGGCAAGTTTCAGGTCTGTAAAGTCTAAGAAGGAACGCATTAGTAATTTTTTTTTATTATTATTATTTTTTTTTGAGTACAGTTAGTGGTATATCTAGAGAGGCAATTGCAGATTAGGAAGTGAAGTGGAGACTTTGGTTTCTTGAAAACAGCGAGTGACTGCCGTTCTGATGCATTTTGGAAGTTCATTCCACCAACTGGGCAGATTGAATGCGAGCGTTCGGGAAAGTGATTTCTTCCCTCTTTGGGATGGAACCACGAGGGTCTATGCAAATAGAAAAGAGATATACAGTTTGCGGTAATACTGAAAAATTTGACATTATTTGGCAACCCTTCTTCTTACATTTGAAAAAAAAATACTGTTATTTAAATTATTATTATTAGTAACATTTTGTATATTTTTGTACATTTAGTTATTGTATAACTTTATTCAGAGAGAAAGAAAATGTCAGCAAATTGTGTTTGCAGTTGGCATTTCTGTGTGGAGTTTGCATGTTCTCCCCATGTTCGCACGGTTTTCTGCAGGCGCTCCGGTTTCCCCCATAGTCCAAAGACATGCGGTACAGGTGAATTGTGTAAGCTAAATTGTCCGTAGTGTATGTGTGTGAACGAGAGTGTATGGGTGTTTCCCAGTGATGGGTTGCAGCTGGAACGGCATCCGCTGCGGAAAACATGTGCTAGGTAAGTTGACGGTTCATTCCGCTGTGACAACCCCTGATTAATAAAGGACTGATCCGAAAAGAAAATGAATGAATGAATGTACATTTGAATGAATGAACAAAGAATTGAACGAACAAATGAAAACTTAAATAACAAATCAAATTTAAAACATATTCTGTATCCCTGCATGTAAACTACCTTGATGGCAAAACAGCATCAAACTGACACCTAATATTGGCATCAAAATAATTTAAAAGTTGATTACTGGACAGTGTTATTTACAAAAAGGTTAGATGTCAATTTGGTGTCATTTTGAGATCAAAGTAGTCAATTGACATCAAATTTATTTACATTTTTGATGTCTTATCTGCTTGCAATCAGTTTGAAAGAGAACAAAAGTTATTGTCTCACTAAAAGTTCACTTAATTTCACCTAGAAACTGAAGCTAAACATAAGTATACGTATGTTTATGCACCATTGCAGAAATGTAGCCGTTGTTTCCATAGAGCCTGGGATGACAATTTATGTAGAACACTTTACAGTCGTGGTTGTAAATCTGAGTAATGGCTGTTAAAATGAAGATTAAAGACCATTCCAGTGATAAACTAAAACAAATGCATAAATTTAGAGAATTACCCAAGCGTTTGGATGATTCCAGTTGACACCTGTGGTCCTATTATCAGGGAATTGAAGCCACATCAGAAGGCAAAGAAACTCTCTAGACAGGGTGATCATTCAAAACAAAAACCAAGAGAGAAGCCAACAATCACTTTGATTTAGCTTCAGAGTTCAGTAGCAGAAAAGAGATAAAGGTGGACTGTCAAACGGATCATGAGGGAGGGAAGCACTTAAGAAGCCATTACTAAAAAGGAACAAATGAAAACACATCTAGAGTTTGAAAAGCGTAATAGCAGCTCATTTATGTCGTGGGACAAGATTATTGGTCAAAAGAAACTATATTAGAGTCTAATTTCATCATGAATTCAATGTGTACTAATCCTCAGAAGGCACGTTCGTGTCAAAATGACATTGAAAAACTCTTAAATATAAAGTAAAAAATGCAAATAGATTTAAGTGAAGTTTTTTTATAAACTCATTTTGAAAGCATCACATGCTTATGATTGTCCAAGGCTGGTTCCACGTTAGCTTACGATTGATTCACCAATCAGATGATTACAAACTTACTATAAAATAACCAGAGTTTCTTATCTCAGTATTTCTTCTTGATGAATACCCCTCACTCACCCCTACTCCTTCTTCTTTCTAGATGACCGACAAGGTGGCCCAGTGATTAGCACCGTTGTGTCACAGCAAAAATGTCCCTGGTTAAAGTCCCTACTAAACCAGTCGACATTTCTGTGTGGAGTTTGCTAGTTCTCCCTGTGCTAGCATTTTTGCTGAGTTCTCCAGTTTCCTCCCGTGCACAGTCCAAAAAACATGCAACCTAAATAAATTATACATATCAAATTGGCATCATAGTCAAGCTCTTAGCAAGCTATATATCTCTCTTTAGCCATCCCAGTATCTGTTATTAGCCAGAAATAAGTCAGGGGAGTTCATCGAGATCTACCTGAACTCAAATTCCCCTCTCGCCCTGCTAATGAGGGGGAGCCCAGGGCTCGAGGACCTTATAAGCTCAGAGCTCTCTCCTGGGA